GAGAGTTGATTGGGGGAGGGGAGGGATATGGAAGGTGGTGGCGGGGAAGAGACAGAAATCTTTAATAAATAAATAAATAAATAAAAAGAACAACTAGGGTAAGCACCGAGTCTCCCCTCAGTCCTTTCCCCACTGGGAAATACCGAGTGAACATCCAGGGTGCCACATAGTCACACAGTCAAGTCCACAGCAAAGAACCTGTACATGGTGCAGCCACACCCATGCCACTATGACAATTATCAAATGTTCTAAGCAGCATCAGAAGTACCTGCTGAGTGAGTGATTCCGTGACCTAGAGTAGGACCCTGATGAGACAGCCTGCCATGCGCAGACAGAGCAGGGAACACAGAAGCCCATTTAAGATTTGTCTTTCATGTAGGTGCTGAGTACACAGAGCACTCATCTTTCAAGTACTTAAATGAAGTGGCTCTTGAGTATCCCAATATTATTCTCAGTATCTATCAAAAATCCTATGCAGGCTATTTCCTTATACAGAGATGTCTGCTCAGACTGCTTCATCCCTCTTGTTCTGTTTCTGCTGCTCTTTGCTTGATTATTTATGTTCCTAAACACTTAATTCAGAAAAAAGGAACCTTGGTGGTACCAGATCAGCACACACCACATCTGCTCCAAGACCCGCTTTGTGGTGGTCAAGGCACCATTCTCTCTAACATGAGGTCTGAAGCTTCTTGTCCAGTGGCAGTGTGGGCCACTACACTCAGTAAGCCTTCAGTGAAAGACTTGGTGGTTCGCCTGAAGAGCACCATCCAGTGGATTCCTAGTGCTCCCAGCTTGGCATCCTTACTGCCATACCCCGCTTCTGCACACCTACATTTCAGTATTTCCTTCTCTAAGATACAGTCACAGAGCACAGTACATCCTACCAAGAGACTCAAGACTCTTAAGTACATTGGCTCATCTTTCCCTAAGGGTCTTGTGACAATGCACATTTCCCACCCACCCAAAGAGCCATCACTTTCTTACCTTCTTCAGCTCCCAGGACCCTGTGTCACTGCTCTTACCCCACCTCATCCCATCTTACTCATGGGTTTGGGGCCAGCTTATGTCTTCGCCCAGCATAGCAGTCTGAAAAACTGGTTCCCTGTGTGATTCCTCAGCTGACTGCCTGGACGTCATCTCGGCAGTGATGTTGATGTTACGAGGTACCCAGCCTACATCCCCACCTTGCTGAGCAACGCCCAGCTCATCCAGCTCCCCAAGGGTGCCTGTCACCCTGACACACTTGCTGTTGACTGCCACTGTGTGGGGATCTGTTTCTTCTCCTTTCCGTGCCTGCCATTCTCACCACCTGTCTCTGCTGTTCTGGCTTCCCTCAGCCCTGATTCGATTCCCCTCATCCTGAACTCAGATTGGGACATTGATGCCGCCCTACTACCTTGCTTTTCAGAAGTTGCACTCACTTTAAAATAAGCCCAAAATTCTGAGTTTTTCTAGCACTATTAGGTATTTTTTTAAAATAACATTTACCAAATGAAAGCCTTGGTTTCGACTTACTGCAAACCCAAACAGCCCCCAGCCCTGCCGGGTATGAATGCAAGCCCCACACAGGAAGCAGGCTACTGACCTGACTCTGACTTCTCCGGACTCTCAGGAACTTGTAGGCAAAATTATCATCCTGATTTTCATTGAAGTGAAACACTGCATACTCCACAGAAATGCTAAAATCCTCACTGTTCTTGTTGATTTCTACAAATCTGAAGCTGCAGTCACGAATCCCCATCACAATAAGCCCCACCAACAGGAAGGCCTTCCACAACATGGCTGTCTTCCGTGTCCGCTCTGGGAGCTGAGGATGCACGCATTGGTAGAGAGGTGGCGCAGCTGCAGCTGGTGATGCCAGTCCACACAGCCCCGCCCACCAGAGGCCCCGGGGTGCTAAAGTCTTCATTTTGACTAGGGCAGCTGACTATTGCCATCTTTACGCCTCCACCTTGTCCCTCCCTCCATCTGACAGTAGAAGGTTGAAAAGGAGGACATATTTTCTACACCTTGGGGACATAAGCCACAGGCTTATGGGCATTCGTGCAACTTACCCTTTGCCTGCACATGCCCAAGACTGCCTTCCCCAGCCTCGGCCCACTCTGATAAGAACTGATAGGAAGTTTGGGATTGTAAATCCAACTGGTTTGCCGTTACTGCTCTAAACTCAAAAACTGGTGGAGCCACAGAAACTCTCATGAAGTAAAAGAGGTTTGAATTATTGGGAGTTAAGAATCAAGGGCCCATGACTTTGGCATCTGAGAGGAGCCCAGTGGGAGGGCTCAGAGTCGGGACTGGAAGATCATCTTCTCTACCATCTCTGCAGTATAGCGGCCAGTTCATCACCTCTGCCTCCTTCCCTGACACCTGCCCGACCTAGGCTTTGCAACCCATGTACTAGGGAGAATCAGAAAGGGAGGCAGTGGGTCTGTAGGGATAGACAAAAAAGGCAGCCATGGGCCTTGAAGCTGACTGGACCCAGAAAGAGGCACCTACTAATATATTCAGACCCTGCTCTGCCACTTGGCCCTGTGCCAGACCTCTCAGGAAAAATACTCCACATTCTGCCTTCCTTCTGGAGAAACTGCAGAGATGGCAATAAGGCAGGGGATGAGTGAGCTGGAAAGGCATAAATGGTGCCATCATGGGAAAGGACTTAGGCTCAAATGGTCTTCCCCGCCATGGGATAACAGGATACTTGAACCTTCATGATTCTAAAAATTGTCCCAGAAACTAACCATTACCCCCGGGATAGAGTAGGAGCAGAACTATAACTGTTGCATAGAAAGGGACAGGACTGTGGACATGATTGGAACTACCTTCCTGCAGTGTCCAGGTGGGAGGAAATGATCTCACAAGATGGCCTAATGATGGACACTGTCTTAGTTAGGTTTCTATTGCTGTAATAAGGCAGCATGACAAAAATCAGTATGAGGAGGAAAGGGTTTATTTCATCTTATAGCTTGTTATCCATCATCCAAAGAAGTCAGGGAAAGAACCCAAAGCAGGAACCTGGAGGCAGGAACTAACTCAGATGCCACAGTGAATGCTGCGTACTGACTTGCTCCTCCTGGCTTTCTTAGCCTTTTTTTTTAATACAACTCAGGACCACTTCCCAGGGATGGCACCACCCACAGTGGGCCGGGCCTTCCCATGCCAATCATTGATCGATAAAACGCCCTACAGATGGCTTGCCTTCAGGCCATCTGATGGAAACATTTTCTCAACTGAGGTTCTTCTAGCTTGTGTCAAGTTGACCAAAAAAAAAAAAAGAAAAAGAAAAACAAACAAACAAAAAAACAAAACAAAACAAAACAAAACAAAAAACCAAGACAGGTGGTGATGGTTAGGGTGGCTAAAAATGCAGATATCCTTCCCACTGTAGTACTTCAAAGCACGCCTGAACCCCTTGCTTTACCCCACCCCAACACAACACCATACATGCCAAGTATAATTTTTTTAAAGAAATAAGAATGGGGGCTGGAGCCGGGCGGTGGTGGCGCACGCCTTTAATCCCAGCACCCGGGAGGCAGAGGCAGGCGGATCTCTGTGAGTTCGAGACCAGCCTGGTCTACAAGAGCTAGTTCCAGGACAGGCTCCAAAACCACAGAGAAACCCTGTCTCGAAAAACAAACAAAAAACAAAAAACAAAACAAAAAAAAAAAGAATGGGGGCTGGAGAGATGGCGGAGTGATGAGAGTATTTACTGCTCTTCCAGAGGACTGGAATTTGGTTCTCAGCACCTATGTCAGGTAGCTCTTCAGGCACTTGTACTCATACGCATATACCCACATACAGACACACACGTGCACAAACACACAGACATGCACACAGAGACACATATACGTAATTAAAATAATTAAAAAATAAAATCTTTTTTTTAAAAAAGTAAGAATGTTTTAACCATGTGTTTTTTAAAACATCCTATCCTACCCGGGTTCACTCTACTAGCCTGTTTATCACTTAGAGATTTATAAATTTTCAAGCATTTCCCTCCTTGATTTCTAGATAAATTCCATTGCCATCAGAGAACACAATCCATATGACACCCATTCTCTGAAGTTCATGAGGATGTAGATTATGGACCAGAACATGCTCAGTTTTGGTAAATTATCGACAGGTTCAAAGAGGGCATGTTCTGGACTTGGATGATGTCCTGTGTAGCACAAAATCAAATTGGTTTGATAAATTTTCACATTTTGTATGTCTTTGGTGATTTTTACTCTGTGGAGCTGTCAGTTACTGAGAAAGGTACCTGAAACTCTCAAATTAGAACCATGTGTTTTTCTAGCCCTGTCAGACAGTCTGTGGTATTCGGGAGGACAAGGCCACCTATCTTGTCATTTGCTCCTTTTTACCACCGCTGAGCCGGGGCCTGGTCCCACTGCAGAATGGACACCACTGTGAGCCTGGTTCCTGGCACAGCAGTAGTGAGGAGACAGACGACTGCGCCCTGGAAGAGAGTTTGTAGTTCTTTTCCTGTTCCTTCTCTAGCTTTGTCGGTTGTAACATCACTGTGGTGCCTAAGCCAGTCTCTAACTTGTGAGTTTCCAAGATCCTCCCACTCAGCTTCCTGCTTCACATGAACTGAGGAGTCTAATTTACTCAGACATCCATGCCTAAGGCAGTGTAATAAAATAAGACAGTTGCAGCCAGGTGGTGGTGACACACGCCTTTAATTCCAGCGCTCAGGAGGCAGAGACAGGTGAATCGCTGTGAGTTCAAGGCCAGCCTGGTCTCTAAAGCTAGTTCTGGGACAGTCAGGGCTACACACACACACACACACACACACACACACACACACACACACCAATTGCTTATTTTTAAAAATGGTATCCATGGCAAATAGACAATATAGAAGAGCCTAAGCATTGCTCAGGGATTCAAAAGATGCCGTGAGATGCTTTTAATTGCATTAGCACCACACAGACCTTGGACTCCAGATAGTCACACTCCCAAGGAAGGAAGAATACTATGTGTAGCCAGAGTCCCTGTGCCACTTATGCTGGCACACAGGTGCTATTCAGGATGGAGAATTGGGAAAACCAAGGTCGGGCATCTACTTGGAAAACACAGTGCACCTGAAAATATAATCACAATAAGTAAGTTAGAACATTAAAATGCATTGTGATAATGTGCAACATGCAGTAATAAAGTTGAAACAGCCATTTTATGGAAGTGGAGACAATAAAACTCAAATCTCCACTTGGACAATGGACACAAGTCACAAAATCCCCTCACCTAAGACAAGGGGGTCCTGAAAAGGCACCTGCCTGGGGTCTTTACCCTGAAGCATGCTTTCCTCACAAATCACCACCCACCTTCCACCCTGCAACTTATGATGATGGATGAACTTCTCCATCTGACCCAAGGATCCTGAAGGAACCAAGGGATTGCTTGAAAGAAGACCCCATCAGGGCGCTTCCCAGCTGAACAGCAGCACAAACCACTCAAAAATGATGCTGCTTCAAGGCCATTAGTAAGAAGGTAAAACCAAATACCAACACAGTCCCCCAGTGGAAAGTCATCCTCAAGATGCCAGATCCCATGGATTACGTGTCATATGGGACAATGATGTCACTCAGAATCACCCAGAATCTATCAGAAAGTCAGAGTAAGCAGATAAATTAAATAGTCCCTAACCCCAAGACATGAGCAAAGGAGGGATGATGACACTGGAGGAATTTGTTTTCTCAAATCCAGATGGTCTCTAGACCACAAGGAAGCCAGGTGGGCATCTGCAACAAAGGGCTGCTATGGGCGTGGGAGTCAGGCTCTGTCTGCCTAAGATGACCCCTTCTGTGTTATTTCTAGTAGGTCAACCACATTCCAGTGGATCACCCCCACATTCAGGAATAGATGGGTAGCACAAACGGAATTAATTGGTTAATAAAAATAGGACATGAAGTTGGAAATAAAGGTAGATCTGAAAAGTTAGGGGAGAACTGGGGAGAGAACATGATCCAAATACACTGCAGGAAATTCTCAAAGAATTAATACAAAATTTTTCGAGATAAAAATAAAGTAATAAATAAGCAAATAAGGGGAGACGATAGCCCCTTCTGCTTCCAGTGAGGGAGCCCTGAGATGTTTGCCCACACCTTCCCTCCATCTAGTCTCAGGCTTTACTTCATTATCTTTTCACTCCCAAAAGATCAGTTGTAGCTGCAGATAGTTTTATTATCTGACCTTTTTTTCTCCTGAGCCTTGTAGCAATGGGCAATTGTCCGTGTTTTTATCGTGTTTCTTACAAATTGTGCGACCCATCTCCAAAACCATTAAGAAAATCATTGTCCATGTCTGTTGAAAAGAAATTATGCAAGTGTTATTTTTATAACATAAATACAAAAACAAGAAGACAATCAAGTAGAAAATGGGCATTGCCTGGATATGCATGTGCTTATAAATAGGCATCTATATGGTACATGCCATCATTGTATGTCAAGAGAAATGTGCCTATGAGGGCCACATGTACCAGTCTTCTTTCAGTACTTCCTGCTACTTCCTGCTAAATTCTGGCACTCTACAGGGGCATGAACACATACAGTTATGGCACATTTACAGGACACAATCAAATCCTAAACAACAAGCAACCTGCACACACTGCAGCCATACATGACAATGTGACGACTTTCAAACATTCCCCCTGAGCAGCATGTGCCAGACTAAGAAATCTGAAAATCAGATGAAGAAATGGGGTCTGTACATGAAGGGGTAAAGCTTTGTATGTGGACTCACCTTTTTCTGGGCTCTCCCAACTTCCAGCAACCTGTATGTGTTCTCTTCTGGGTTGTTGTCATTGAACTGAGCCACAGCAAACTCCACTGATGCCACAAAATAGTCTAGATCCTTAGTAATGTCTACGAATTCTTTGTCAATGGTCCATAAATGAGTGCCTAGCACAATCAGTCCTACAAGCAGGGGCACCTTCCACACCATAGCTGTCCTCTGCATCAGCCTAGGGACTGGGGACACACGGGAAAAGGGATGGAACAACCACAGTTGGTAACGCCCTTCTCAGCTCAGGATCCCACATAGTCCTGCCCATCAGAGCCCTGTGCTCCTGAATGCCTTCTTTTGTGTTTCTGTCTAAGCCCTTATCTCCACTCTTCTGCCTTCTTGTTCCTTCTCACTACCCCAACAGAAGGTAGAGCAGAAAGACACGTACCCCACCTCGTGGTGGCACCAACCCTGAAGTGACAAGCATCCTCAGACATCCCCTCTGTATGCACATCTCCAGACTGTCCCTGAGCCTTGCCAGGGTAGGTCCCACTTGTGCTGCAGCCCCATTTGTCATTACACGAGGCTGGAGAGGATTCCCAGGGCTCGGAGGAAACTCCTGAGAAGTCTGACGAACTCATTCCTGGGAAGTGGAATCAGTTGTTGCCAAGCCTACCCGTGACCTTGCCTGCAATACACACCACCTGCCAAGTTCAAGGCCAATCATTTGGGGGTGCCCATGAGCTGCCTTCTTCCTACTGTCCCGGCCCTCTTTGGCCAGCAGCTCCACCTGACTCCATTCTCCTTGTTTTCTGTGCTCATTATCAGTTCCCTTCACTTCTAACCTGCTCTCATCTTCTCACATCTTTTCTGACCTCTGGGCTGTAATTATGGAACTGTTTCATTCTAATCACCGCTGATTTCAAATCAGCTCTCGTTTACCAACTTCTAACTCAAGCCGACCACAGGCAGAGAACATCTGTCTTACCTTTTTTTTGAAATGTATTGAGATTGATTTTTATTGTTATCGTTGAGAATATGACCACTATTTCCTGCGCTTTAGAAGAGCATATTTGGTATATAGAATGTTAAGTCTGTACATTGTAAGTCTTGGCTTACTGGATTCTGTAGTGGATATTTTGTTTGTATTTTAATAAATAAAGCTTGCCTAAAGATCAGAGAGTAAAGCACTCCTACTGGTCAGCCTTACAGACTAGGCAGTGGTGGCCCACGCCTTTAATCCCAGTAGTCACACTAGTTTGCCATAGAAACTGGACGGTAGTGGGGCACACCTTTAATCACAACCCTAGAGAGGAATGTAAGATGGGAGGAGACAGCTCTCACACAGTCTCTGAGATTCCTGGAGGCAGGATCACCAGTTCAGACTGAGGTAGAGGTAAGAGCCAGTGGCTGGCTGCTTTGCTTTTCTGACCTTCAGGCAAGCTTTATTTATTACAACAGAAATGAAGAATCACTACAGGACTATGCAGCACCATGGCTTCAGGGAATCTCTGACCTGGTATCTAATTCTTGTGCCACATTTGAGATAAGTCACTCCTGAATTCACGAAGACACAGTAGAACACAGCAGAGTTACCACCTGATGTTAGACTATTGTATACTTTTGGAATAATCTGAATGCCATGCATCCATAGAAAAGTAAAATGCCTCCCTGCAACCCATCATTTATCCGTAAGTAGTTAGTGTATCCTCAACAAATTCAGATTCAAGCCCCTGCCCCAATCCTTCATCCAAAAGTAGTTAGTGTATCCTCAGACTCAAAATCAAGTCCCCAAGTCATTCCTCGATAAGTGGATAAAAAATGATCCACTCACATCCAAGTAGATCAAAGACCTCAACAAAAATCTAGCTACACTGAACCTGATGGAAGAGAAAGTGGGGAATAGCCTTGAACACACGGGCACAGGAAGCAACTTTCTGAATTTTCTCAGACTCAGGATCAAGAACCCTACAGCCATTTATCTATAAGTGATTAGTAATCCTCATCAAACTCAGGATCAAGATTCAGTGCAGTCAGTCATCACTGGAAAAGAGCAAGAATTTTCTTCCTGGCATTTGACAAAATACTTGGGGAACTTTGCTGAAAGGGCAAGTGGCCATTTGAAAACATAGGCACCAGGTGAGGCTGCTTTATGTTTTATGTTTTAACAAATAAAACTTGTCTGAAGATCAGAGTGCAGAGCTAGCCACTAGAGGCCAGGGAGTAGTAGTACACACCTTTAATCCCAGGAGTTTCCCGATGATATCGGATTGCCCCGTCTGTCTGTTGTTGACCTACATTCGTTGGACCAATGCCTGCCTTTACCGCATCTCCTACATATACCTGAAGGCCGAGGTCTCCTATTTTTGTCATTCCCAGAAGAGATATTATTCCTAGAAATTCTTTGCCTGCAATTCCTTTGCAAATGTCCTAATTTACCACAATTAAAACACCTGGCAGTTTGATGTCTCCTCATTGCTTTGGAAATCGCTTCTCCTACCCAAGATTCATCATTATAGCTAAACGTCTCAACATTCATCGTATGCTGAATCCATTCATCCATAGGTGCTGATCTAGACTTTAAAGGCCCAATAATCTTTTTGCATTCTATGTTTGCATTCTCAAAAGCTAGAGATTCAAGAAGTATTCGTCTAGCTTCTGGGTCTGTTACCCCTATGTCCAGAGCCTTAATTAATCTTTGCAAAAAGTCAATAAAGGGTTCTCTCTGTCCCTGCCTAATTCTGGTATATGATTCAACCCCTTTTGCTGGATTTTGTATCCTATTCCAAGCATTTAAAGCTGCTTGGTGACATAGACACAGTACTTCATCGTCATAAAGAGCTTGGACCTGTGGATCAGCATATTCTCCTGCACCAAGAATTTGATCTTGGGAAACCTCAATACCTTTTGCTCTTCCTTGCTGTTCCATATGTTTGGATTCTTCTCTGAAATAAATTCCAAACATCAAGGAAGGTCCATTATCTAAAACTGCAGAAACTAACTGATGGAAATCATGGGGAGTAACTCTAGCATTAGAAGCCCAAGTCCTTATCATTTCCTTTACATATGCATTGTGCAAGCCAAAATTAACAACAGCTTGCTTAATTTCTTTCAGATCATTCATTGTTATTGGCGTCCATCTAGCTTCTCTGACTCCCTTTGAGCCTTTAGAAGTTGATGCTTTTTCAGAATTAAGTATAGGGTATGTCACTAGAACCCTGGGTAAGCCAGTTCTAATAGCTGGTGGAGGCATTGTATCCTGTCCTTGTGCCTCCTTACTCTGTTCACCAGCTGCAATAATTTCCCCAATCTTTTCCAATCTTTTTATCATTGTCTCTCTTAAATCCTGAATCTCCTGACCTGTATATATTTCCAGTGATTTCACTGAGGTATCAATTTTTTGGTCCCCATTCTGCACCTGTGATTCCAAAGCTTTAATTTTTTCCTTCAAAGATAACATGTCCTCCTTAAACTTTTCTTGTATATCATGTAGATTCCCATCTTGGAGGTACATTCTGTCTGTTACCTTATCAAAACTTTGTGATAAAGTCTGAAGGTCAAATTCAACAGCCTGAACCCTTTCAGGTAACTTTCTAATACCCTTGGATATGGAATCAATTTTGTCTGTCATAGTATCCACTTGTTCAGATAACCTCTGATTTTCAATAATTTTAATCCTGTCAATTAGTTGTTCATTATTAGTTCGTAAAGATTCTATCATTCTTAGGAGTGCCATATTCTTCTGTTCATTATTAGTTTGTAAAGATTCTATCGTTTTTAGGAGTGCCATATTCTTCTGTTCATTATTAGTATGTAAAGATTCAATCGTTCTTAGGAGTGCCATATTCTTCTGTTCATTATTAGTACGTAAAGATTCAATCGTTCTTAGGAGTGCCATATTCTTCCTTAATGATAGAATATGGAAAAGAAAACCGAAGCCTAGTAACAAGCAAATTAAGGTATCCCCATAATCATATAAACCTTGTATGATGTAATTCATTGTATTAGTAAATATAAATTTACTAATCCATTGTATTAGTGAAAACAAAGCAGTAAAATTTGCGTTAGAAACGAAAACTGCCATATTACATATTATCCAGCAGGTGGCGCTGTTGCAGAGTCGCGGTGAAAACATGGTCCTATTTCAGTGCCTTAGTAGATGTTAAAAACTGGAAAATGCAAGTTTCTCAACAAAGTAAATGTAATTAAATCAATTCCAGAGACGGAACCAGAAACCCAGAATCCCGGGGTAGAGAAGAGCAATCTGGAAGCCGCTTATGCCTCCACGTGACAGAGTCACCCTGAGGGGTTGCAGCTTTCAGCAACCACGTGCTCTGGTTCGCACCACTTAAGAGCTGTACTTGCAAGGGAGATTTAAAAATGACTCAGAAAAGAGCAAACCATGCGGGCAGAGACTATGCGGGCCTGTGTAGTTTAAATCCATGTGGGGAGTCCAAGGCCGCTGCTGCAAGGCACAGGTGGCGGCTGAGGAAGGGAGGGCTCCTGCCTAGCCAAACTCGCGGCTGCCGCCAAGCCGAACTCGCGGCTGCGAGCGGGGAAAGGAGAGGTTCTGAAACCAAACGTTGGGTGCCAAAATGAAGGCGTAAGTCACAAACAATGCCACACCAATTCGGGGTTATGCTTATTAGGGTGGTATTTATTTAAAGGGGAAAAAACTTACAGATCACTGTCCCAGGCAACAGCCCTCTACGCAACCAGGAAAGGAGTCTAGTCGCCGGAGCAGGAAGTGAAGAGAGAGAGGAGAGGGAAGTGGCCGCTTTTTTAAAGGGAGAGAAACCACGCCCCAATGGGCTGGTACCTCAGCGGTGATAGGCTGGAGGAGTGGGAGGACCTCCCGCAACAAAACATTAGGCAGAGAATAGCAAATCCTGTTGAAGAGAGAGAGGAGGGATTGTAAGAGCCATAGGGGCCAAGGACATGATAAGAAAAGCCACAGAATCAACTAACCTGACTCATAGTGACTCACTGAGTCTGAAGCAACAACCAGGGAGCCTACATGGGGCAGACCTAAACCCTCTCCATATATGTGACAATTGTGTGGCTTGGTCTGTTTGTGTGACTCCTGATGAGAGCAGGGGCTGTCCCTGATGTTTTGTCTAACTCTTGGAACCTATTTCTCATACTGGTTTGCATTACCCAGTCTAAATACATTGGGAAATGCTTCGACTTATTGCAACTTGACATGCCATGCTTTGTTGGTACCCATGGGAGGCCTGCCGCTTTTGGAACAGAAACAGAAGAGTAGTTTGAGGGAGAGGTGGAGAAGAAATGGTGGGTGGAGGGAATTGGGGGGAGTTGAGGGAGGGAAAACTGAAGTTGATGTAAACTAAATAAATAAAATTTGAAAATTTCTTTAGGTTATAAAATAAAGATAGCAGTATGTAGCTGTCAAACAAAGCAGATTCCCTTTGCCAGGCTTGCTGAGGACTCAGTTTGGAGGACAATGAAGAACACCAGGAAGCAGAACGTGGGCCTAACCTCCAGCAAGTGTAGAAGTACGTGCTCTTTGAGACCAATGCATGCAGAGCGGAGAGGCTGCATTGGTCCATCTCAGCATAACTCAGAAAATACAAGTTTGAGGAAATTCTAAAATATCAGAATACTCTTCAGTGCTATTAAGGTCATGAAGATCAAGGAGATGAATAAGGAGCCATTTGGGACAGGAGAAGATCAGAGTTGCTGGTGACTCTGTCACTTAGAAAGAGCATTTGGAGTGAGTTCCCTTCCAGGAGCCCATTGCTAAAAGACCCTGGACACACTCAGGACTCCACAATTAGCTGAGCTAAGGCCATGTACTGCTCCTGGATTCCTGATGACATTTGAGGACAGCGAGAGGGTAGTTCTAGTGCCAGCCCCTGAGTGCAGTGGTTGCTTGCACTGGGTTATGGAGAAGATCACACTTATTTACAGGAATTAATAGTAAGTTTGAGAGTGAGGAGGCAATTACATCATTGATTCTTTCTCTGATATTTCCCAGGTATAGCTGATATTTCTGATATTCTTTACCCTGAAATCTATTACGGTTTGAGATAAAATTTTTTAACCTCAGCCATGCCAGGGTATGGCAGAACATTTGGCATGTAGCGACAGATGAGAGCGGGAACACATGAACCATCAGAGTGGTAAATACAGTGTGTCCCTATTGCAGTGCTATGGCTGCTCTCTTGTGGTTTCAGCAATGGGAAAGTATTTTTGCTTTTTGAGAGGAAGGATAATGAGTTACTGTGGCTAGGAGTCTCCTAAGTCCAAGGTCACCTCTTTGTAGAGGAGTTGGCTGAGACACAGAGAGATAGGGCAACTGTGTTGCTCAACTCAAGTCCCCCAAGGTCATCAGAAGAAAGCACTGGCTTAGCTCCAGGCTCTCCTTACTCAGGCAGGTGAAGGCTCTCTGGTCTGATAACAGTGGATGCTGGGGGTACCAGCAGAGTGACAGGCAAAGGCACCTTCTTCAGTGTGTTGATAAGTCCGTGAGTGTTGTGTATACCCAGGATTCTACCCCACTGAGAAACCTGTCTCACAGGGAGCACAAAGGCTAGGTCGAGTCCCTGGCTCCTGCCTGTCACATGCACCCTAGCTGTATTAATATACATGTGTGTGTGTGTGTGTGTGTGTGTGTGTGTGTGTGTGTGTGAGAGAGAGAGAGAGAGAGAGACAGACAGACAGACAGACAGACAGACAGAGAAAGACAGAGAAGAGAGAGAGAAAGGTGCAGAAAGAGAAAGAGAAAAATTCTAGAGGAAGTGGAGGGACATGCAAGGAGTTTGAGGGGGGAGGGAACTTTGTGGAGGTGATGACTTCTCTTTCTTCGTGAGTGCTCATGGTGGGAAAGATATCAAGGAATTGCTCTCCAAATGACACCAAGTAGGTTATGGGGATTTTATGGTGCAAGTTTCGGACCACAGACTCTTTCCTACAAGGATTCCCACCCAATGAGGCCTCAGTTAAGGTAGCAGTCATTTGTAATTGAGAAAAGCTATCTTTGTTTCAGTTCTGCTCCTAGTTTTGTGAACTGCATTGGTGTTAATCTTCTGTAGCGGCATTTTGTTTGTATTTTAATAAATAAAGTTTGCCTGAGGATCAGAGAGTAAAATAGTCACACTGGCTAGTCTTACAGACCAGGCAGCAATGACACACACCTTTAATCCCAGGAGCCACACTAGTTTGCCATAGAAGCCAGGTGGTATTGGTGCACACCCTTAATCCCAGAGCTAGAGAGGAGACAACTCTCAGACACAATCTCATTCTGAGGTTTCCTGGAAGCAGTATCACCATTTTGGGACTGAGGTCGAGGTAAGAGCCAGTGACTGGCTGCTTTGCTTTTCTGATCTTCAGGTTGAACCCCAATATCTGTCTCTGAGTTTTTATTAATCATGCTTCAATGTTCAGGAGTATGGGTGAGGGGTTACTCATGGAAGTGTGGATGACTTAAAGGGAACTCTATCCCTGAAAAATCCCACTCCAGCATGGGCAACGACTCCTTGAGCTGCTTGAACAACTTGCAGACAGCTAGGCTGGGGAGGCTCTTCTCCCCAGGAGTTATTGTTTATATAACTTCGAGAGGGAGGTACTTTGAGAACTTTTTCAGACTTCAAAGATTTTTGCTACTTCCTTAGTCTCAATGAGCCTTCCCCATTAAGAGGAGGATGCTCCAATTCAGAGGAAACAGCTACACAATGGTCAATGGGAATATGCACTTAGGGTAGGAATGGAGATGCATGTGTCTGTGTGTAGATGCATCTATCAGTGTGAGTGTGGATACATACGTTTGCATGCATGTACATGTCAGTATGAGAGCAGGTATGTGCACTCACACCTCTGCCCTAGGAACTTTCACTACCTGTCCTGGGATTGTATGCTTCTAAACAACACCCTACGGCAGTGGCTCTCAACCTTCCTAATGCTGCAACTTTTTAATACAGTTCATAACGTTGTGGTGACCCCTAACTGCAAAATTATTTTTGTTGCTACCTTATAACTGTAGTGTTGCTACTGATACGAATTGCAATGTAAGTATTTTTGGAGAGAGAGGTTTGCCAAGGGGATCACAACCCACAGGTTGAGAACCACTGTGGCCTTACAGGCTTACTGAAACATCTCGTGAGCTGACATCACACAGATGGCTGCATCCTGCCAGCCTCTGTGCCTTTGACCTTGCCATTTGATACCAAACTGGAGCTCCTGTGGGGTCTTATCTTGCTGAAACCCGACTTGGGAGGCAGGAAAGTCTTGGCATCCCCTCCTTCAACTCCCTAGCCACCT